ATCACCATGACACGAGTATGGGAGCACACATGACACAAGTATGGGGAGCTTCACATGGACAGAGTATGGAGCACACCATGACACAAGCTATGGGAGCATCACCATGACAAGAGTATGGAGCCACCATGACACAAGTATGGGAGCATTCACCTTGGACACGAGTATGGAGCACCACCATGCCACGAGTATGGGAGCACCACCATGCCACAAGTATGGGAGCACCACCATGACACAAGTATGGGAGCACCACCATGCCACGAGTATGGGAGCACCACCACGCCACGGAGTATGGGGCACCCACCAAGCCACAAGTATGGGAGCACCCCCCCACATGACACAAGTATGGGAGCACCACCATGGGACACAAGGTATGGGGAGCACCACCATGCCACGAGTATGGGAGCACCCCATGCCACAAGTATGGAGCACCACCATGAAACAAAGTATGGGAGCACTACCATGACACAAGGTATGGAGACCACCATGCCACAAGTATGGGCAGCACCACCATGGCCAAACGGGGGAAAAGTTTTTTAATGGGAGCACCACCATGCCACGAGTATGGGGCATCCACATGCCACGAGTATGGGAGCATCCATGACACAAGTATGGGAGCACCCACCATGCCTCGAGTATAGGAGCACCACCCATGCCACAAGTATGGAGCACCACCATGCCACAAGTATGGGAGCCCACACGCCACAAGTATGGGAGCACCACCATGACACATACATTGTTCTGGGGATCTTGTTATACTACTGTCTGTTAAACAAGACAGGTCACTAGAGCTAGCTTTAACAAGGACAAATTTGGCAGGGCTGAGCTTTATCAAGTCAGGCTAAAGCTTTACCCAAATTAAATTTTTTGTTCTGAAGGATGGTTAATGAAGCTTTAGAGTCTACATACTACATCCTGGTAGGTTAATGGGGTTTTTATAAAGTTTATCTGCCACACCCTGGTTGAGTTAATGGGGTTTAAGTTATCTACCACATCCTGGTAGGTTAATGGGGTTTAAAGTTTTCTGCCACACCCTGGATAGGTTATGGTGGTTTAAAGCTTATCAACCACATCCTGGTAGGTTAATGGGGATAAAGCTTATCTGCCACACCCTGGTAGGTTAAGGGTTTTAAAGGCTTATCTGCACACACCCTGGTAGGTTAATGGGGTATACAAAAGCTTATTACCCACATCCTGGTAGGTTAATGGGGATAAAGCTTATCTACCACACCTGGTAGGTTAATGGGGTTTAAAGCTTATCTGCCAACTCCCTGGGTAGGGTTAATGGGTTTAAAGCTTATCTACCACATCCTGGTAGGTTAATGGGGATAAAGCTTATCTACCACACACTGGTAGGTTAATGTGGGTTTAAAGCTTATCTACAACTCCTGGTTAGGTTAATGGGGTTTTAAGCTTATCTACCACACCCTGGTAGGTAATGGGGTTTTTTTTAAAGCTTATTCTACCACACCTGGTAGTGTTAGTGGAGCTTAAAGCTTTTCTACCACGCCCTGGTTAGGTTAATGGGGTTTTAAGCCTTATCTACCCACACCCTGGTAGGTTAATTGGGGTTTAAAGCTTATCTACCACACCCTGTTTGGTAATGAATTTAAAGTCTATCTACTACACGAGGATCATTAAGAATTGGTTGGTTAATGGGGTTAAATGTCTATCTACTACCGAGTGGACATGATGGTTGATTAATGGGGTTAAAGTCTATTACTACACGATTCATTAAGACTGGTTGGTTGGTTAATGGGGTTTTTTAAAGTCTATCTACTACACGAGAGGTCATTAAGGCTGCAGGTCAACCTGTACACAACCAGTCAAGAATATTTAATACCTAAAATACTGATTAATTGCAAATACAAGGGTATACCACTGAGATTATACACTCTCAGTGTATATAACCATGAGATATACACCTCTCAGTGTATATACACTGAGATATACAACTCACAGTGTATATACAGAGATATACACCTCTCAGTGTATAGACATGGATATACACTCTCAGTGTAGTATACACTGAGATATCACCTCTAGGTATAATACTAATATACACCTCTCATGAAAAACACGAGATATACATTTTCCATGTATATACATGATATACCCTCAGTGTTTTTACATGAGATAACACTCTCAGTATATCACTGAGATAACAACTCTCAGTAATACATGAATATCCTCCAGTAAAATCACTGATATATCCTCTCAGATAACACTGAGATATACACTCTCAGTAATACATGAGATTACATCCTAGTATATCCGAGATATACACTCTCAGTAATATACTAAAATAACCCCTCCATTTTAAAACACTAAATTTACACCCTCTAAATACACTGAGATAAACCCCAGTTATAACACGAGATATCACTCTCAGTATATACACTGAGATATAACTCAAAATTAAACACGAAATACACCTCTCAGTAATACATAAAATTACACCTCTCAGTATATACACTAAATTACACCTCAGTAAAAACACGAGATTAAACCCTCATATAAACTGAGATAACACCTCTCTTATATACAGAGAAAATACATCTTCAGTTATACATGAATAACCCTCTCAGTATATACACAGAAAACCTCTCAGTATTCCTGATATACACTCTCATATAACACGAGATATACATTCTCAGTAAATACATGAATAACCTCTCGATAACACGAAATAACCTTCATATATACCTGAGATATACACCCCCCCCATATATCACTGAGATATAATCTCTCTATATCACTGTAAACTTAAGTTATAATTCGGATCAGAATAAAAACATTCTGCTATAAAAACTCTCTATAACTTATTTCAAATTATCATTAAAAATACAAAAAAAATATATACAATCCAGATGATGTGGCCCTAACGGGTTGCAGGGGGCGAGAAAAGCTTTGGCCCCGTGGGCGTACTTATAATACTGATTTAGGAGCTACACGAGTTAGTCAGAAAATAATTGTGGTGTGTATGAAAGGTTTGTCAGTGAATTCAACCTTTAAATTTAAAGAAACCGAATTAATAATAAGGAACATTTGTTTAAATCACGCCCACATTACTAGTATAAGATCGTTGGGCCCCGTCGCTAAAATTAACGAATTTCAGGTAATAAAATCATAATAAAATGACGAAGCTGCTGAATTCAGTTGGCAGACATTCCCCGGGGGGATAATGTTACGGAACGTTTACTCAGTGAGCGATGATCTATTGGTCACCCAATGTTTTTCATCATGGGCTAGCCCTTGATTTTGGGAGATTCTTTTTTATTTTTACTACATCCACCTAAATTAAACAAAAATTTACGCTAAAATGTCCCGAAAAAAACTTTTATTTTCTCAGCTCTAAACTCAGTAAGTCATTTGTCTTCTATCAGAAGATATTATTGAAAGTACATATATGTAGTTTGATCAAATATATATACACTAGTATGATGCAAAAAAAGCTAGGGGTATAAGAGACACTTGATTATTTTCCAGGCTTCAGACTTCAAACTTCTGACTTCTGACTTCTGACTTCTGACTTCTCTTGACTTCTGACTTCTGACTTCTGATCAGGGCTTAATTGACTCAAATTAACTCAGACTTCAGACCTCAAACTTCAAACTTCCCAAATTCTGACTTCAACTTCAGCTGGGGAGGAAGTTCTCAACAAACAAGGTCTCATTGCCACACCTGACAAACACAACACACAGTGAACACCTGCTGGAACAACAATAACATGAACACTTGTGACAAATAATAATAATAATAATTGATTGATTAACTGATTGAGTGCAAGGAGTACCTACTTAATGATGGTTACAGTGGTACCATGATACAGGAGCAAGCACAGGTGTTAGTAAAGGTACCTACTTACATGATGGTTACAGTGGTACCATGATACAGGAGCAAGCACAGGTGTTAGTACAAGGTACCTACTTACATGATGGTTACAGTGGTACCATGATACAGGAGCAAGCACAGGTGTAGTACAAGGTACCTACTTACATGATGGTTACATGTGGTGCCATGATACAGGAGCAAGCACAGGTGTTAGTATAAAGTACCTACTTACATGATGGTTACAGTGGTACCATGATACAGAGCAAGCACAGGTGTTAGTACAAGGTACCTACTTACATGATGGTTACAGTGGTGCCATGATACAGGAGCAAGCACAGGTGTTAGTACAAGGTACCTACTTACATGATGGTTACAGTGGTACCATGATACAGGAGCAAGCACAGGTGTTAGTACAAGGTACCTACTTACATGATGGTTACAGTGGTACCATGATACAGGAGCAAGCACAGGTGTTAGTACAAGGTACCTACTTACATGATGGTTACAGTGGTACCATGATACAGGAGCAAGCACAGGTGTTAGTACAAGGTACCTACTTACATGAAAGATACAAACACCCACAGGTGTTAGTATAAGGTACCTACTTACACGACAGGTACTGAGTTAAGCAGTTACAGCAGCACTGGAGAACTGTCTTGGTGCTGAGTGGGTGTGTCCTCAGCATCTTCTCCCAGTGAAGACTGAGAGAGATTACTTCTCATCCTTGTATAATATTTCACGTGATGCTTCAGCAGACCTGTGTCGTCTCCTGCTTCAGTCTGCTGAGGAAGCAGCAGACTCCTCAGTCTTCTCAGCATGCTTTTGCTCAGCTGAGGGGGAAAAAATGGATTGTGTACCATAAGAGTGAAAATTGCTTACAAGCTCTGTGTACAAGCAAAACACCATGACTTTATAAATCTCTATACAGAGATACACAAAATAACCCGCACAATAAAAGAGAGAAGCTTACGACGACGTTTCGGTCCGACTTGGACCATTGACAAAGTCACACTGTGTGACTTCGTCAATGGTCCAAGTCGGGCCAAAACGTTTGTCGTAAGCTTCTCTCTTTTATGTGCGGGTTATTTGTGTATCGTTCCAGTCACGGTATTGTGCCTTTTTCGTTATTCTCTATACAGAGCCCCCCATACACCACGACTTTATAAATCTCTATACAGAGCCCCCCCATACATACTAAATTAAAGCAAACTTAGGTAACACTCACAGGACTGTCGTGTGATGGTCTGGGCAACTAGGTACAGCATTAGGTACACCACGAAGCTAATTAGGGTCATTACGACGCCTGATATCAACACGCTGGCCGGTCCAATAGATACGAACTCCTGCAGAAGGGAAAGTAGGTGCAGGTGTTGGACTGAGATACTGAAGAGTACCTAACAGTCCTGGGATATATCTAATTACTGGGGATATCTAAGGTGTTTTAAATCACTAGACGAAACGTGAATTTACATGATATCACATGTTATTCTGCCTCGGTTCATGTACATGATAACAGGTGTCATCCTGCCTCAGGATAACAGGTTTGTATCTCACTATAAAACTAGTTATCATACAGTGCCAGGATAACTTACATGACCAATGATAACAGGTATGATCATCTCTCCAGCGGCTGCTGTAACCACCAGTGTGCTGGTTATCGTGGCTGTAATAACACATAACATCTTACAGTGATACATACTTGCATGTGTCAACATTCACAATGTATCAAGATAATTCAATATCCTTCAAACACATTTCTGCAACACTGCAAGCTCCTGACGAAGTTATGATTGCTACACGAAAGGGCTCGAAATATTCAACTCCCCCTGTGGTTATTTAGGTGGTAGGTGACTTACAGGTGACGTGGATGTAGGTCTCGGCCAAGGTGACTGCAGTTGGGTACACTGAAGAGAGGAAGGTACCAAATATGCAGGTACCAAGGTAGAGTACCGCATGGTTGTGGCGCAGTGATAACATTACTACCATGGCTACCATACACCCGCTCTGTTGAAGTACCATCAGTGTTAATACCATAGTTACCATGCACTGTTGAGATACCTTTATGGTAGTGTTAGTACAATAACTATCATATACTGTTGAGGTACCATGGTAGTGCTAGTACCATAACTACCATACACTGCTGAGGTACCATGATGTAGTGCTAGTACCATAACTACCACACACTGCTGAGGTACCATGATGGTAGTGCTAGTACCATAACTACCATGCACTGTTCATGTACCACTGTGGTAGTGCTAGTACCATAACTACCATAAACTGTTGAGGTACCATGGTAGTGCTAGTAACATAACTATCACACACTGCTGAGGTACCATGATGGTAGAGCTAGTACCATAACTACCACACACTGCTGAGGTACCATGATGGTAGTGCTAGTACCATAACTACCACACACTGCTGAGGTACCATGATGGTAGTGCTAGTACCATAACTAGCACACACACTGCTGACGTACCATGATGGTAGTGCTAGTACCATAACTACCACACACTGCTGAGGTACCATGATGGTAGTGCTAGTACCATAACTACCACACACACTGCTGACGTACCATGATGGTAGTGCTAGTACCATAACTACCACACACTGCTGAGGTATCATGATGGTAGTGCTAGTACCATAACTACCACACACTGCTGAGGTACCATGATGGTAGTGCTAGTACCATAACTACCACACACTGCTGAGGTACCATGATAGTAGTGCTAGTACCATAACTACCACACATTGCTGAGGTACCATGATGATAGTGCTAGTACCATAACTACCACACACTGCTGAGGTACCATGATGGTAGTGCTAGTACCATAACTACCACACACTGCTGAGGTACCATGATGGTAGTGCTAGTACCATAAAATACCACACATTGCTGAGGTACCATGATGTAGTTAGTACCATAACTACCACACATTGCTGAGGTATCATGATGGTAGTGCTAACATAACTACCAACACTGCTGGGTACCATGTGGGAGTGCATACCATAAACTACCCCACATGTGAGGTACCCTGATGGTGTGCT